TGCCACACAACTAGGCCAGACTTACTGGTTTTGATATGGAAGGTTATTCTGGACAAAAATAGCTCATCGCGGATTGACGTAGTTCATCAAAATAGAGGCGAGAAAAACGAACTAAATGCCCCATTTTGGATCGTTTATGCACTACCAATTCAAGGATCAACGATCGGTTATCTTGGATCGATCATGTCCTGGACCTGTCATCTTGGATCGATCAACACGGATCGGTCTGTCGTCATCTTCGCGGATCGGTCACCGCCTTTCACATGCATGCGCAGGATCATCCTGAATCGATCGTGGTGGCCGTGGTGGGTCATCGAAATGTCACTATAATAATACTCACTAGGACCCTTTTATATCAGTCACTGATCTTTACTTCCTCTTTAACTTTTGCTGTGTGTGTGTGCATGCGTGTGTTTGTGTGTGACAATATTCACATCTTGGTAAATGTGTGATTGTAAAAGTTGAACTGCTACTAACAATGCTATGGCGATGGCCGAACTCAGCGGATGCATGCCCCATCTCGTTAGACAAAACGAGTCTCCTGATGGCAGAGGAGTTCAACATGTACACCACGGAGAAGAAGAAGGTGGTGAGGGAAATGGTCGTTTTCCTCGACTGGCAGTACATCGTCTTTCCGCGATCTCATGGGGGGGCAAGGAGTATGACTACTGGTAACATAATTATTGAGGTGCTTGGAATTTTTGTGTCGTATTTACTACTATGTGCGTAGTTCTTTTATATCGATATCTTTCTTCTTTCCCTCATCATCTTGGTGCTATATATAATATACCTACCTTCATTTCCTTGTCTCCATTCTTTCTCATTCTAATTAACAAAGGTCATGACAGACCAGAAGGAACAAAAAATCTTATCGCTTCAATGTGGACTTCAAAAAAAGGGAGGGGTTAAAGTAGACAATAGAAACAATAATAAAACACAAATCATGAAGTAATTCCATCGATCTATTCATTCTCCTCCACTTTTTTTCTTTCTCTCTTTCTCTCTGTTCTTGCCTCTACCTCCTCCTCCCTCCTCCTCCACCAGACCACTGATCTCCATCTGATGGAGACCTACAAAGCCAAGGAGGATCGATTTGCCCTCTCCCCTGGTCCCCCCACCTCGGCCCACTATCTCTAGCCCCTATCACCTGACACCAGTATCAAGACTGCCTGGGTCGACATACTGCACTCCTTACTACGCCAGGGAGCCAGGGAGCCAGAGGTTTGTTTAGAGCAACATGCCTATGTGTAACAAAAAAATATATATCCCTCAATAGGACGCGAGTAGTGCACCCTAAACCAAATTCTCTGTAAAAATATTTTCGGGATTTCGTTAAATTCACAAAGGATTAGTACCATGAAATTGCTACAAACAGCATGATATGATCTCTATTATGTCAATGCTTCTCCAGTTATATTCATCTTAAAGTCACCAGGATGCACTAAAACGTCCCTAAAAGGGTCTATATACCCCTGATTCTGAACACCAGGCCACATTTACAAAAATGTATTAGTGGCGGGGCATTCCCACCACAAACATATACTGTCCTCAACCCCTACACTACTGCTGTGAACACTACATGAGATGTGATTCACAACCCAAGAACCCTTGTGACAACATGCACGTTTCAGTTACTGGATCAGTACGGAACTGGATGTTATCTTTGTCAAACAATACTCTGACTGGAAGGTTTTACATGCACACGGGTTGCTTGAGGATATGCATGTTTATAAAAGTGCTGAAAGTGACGCGTCTTGTTGCGTTTTCTTTATCTCATCCACACACATGAAACAATGTGTCCGAAGCATTTTTTATTCTAATGTGATATGTAAATCTCTATCTTCCTCCCTCCCTCCCTCCCATCGTCCTTCCGTGTCTCCTGTCTGCTGTGCAGATTCTCTGCCACTGCACGAGGCCATCCTGCCACTGCCCTACCACTTCAGAAAGACAGGTCTCTACCAGGAGGGAGATGGAGAAGGACAACGGACACTCAAGAGACAAGGATCACTCAAACGCTCCCTCTCTCTCAAGTGGGTACTATCCACATTAGCATGCCCTCTTTTCTATGAGCGCACTGCATTGTATATACACACTGAATGTGTATGCACTATGCATAGATTTACACATTCGCATACTGCATTGTAATATATAGAGTGGAAAACTGCTTTATCAACACAATTGAATCCTCCATTAGTGTGTAAGATCGAAATTTCCCTTTCCACAAAGGTTTGGCTAATATCCTACATGTTACCTATATAGTTTTCCATACTCTAATTGGACCTATATACATACAGCTAGGTATCACTCTTGTCCTGTGTATATATCCAGGAAGAAGTCGTCGGTGAGGGAGACAGGGAAGGAGGCTCCTGTGAAGGGAAGTGACTCGTTTGGTAACAAGAAGGAGCTCGTCATCAAGAGAAACAAAAGGTGACGTAACTACACGTATTTCACACGTACGTATTTTGCACTCTATTAGAGAGCTACCGTACAGGTGCAAGGGAAGTGTTACGGTACAACTCATTCTATTACAGTATGAGTCACAAAAAAGTAAACGAAAGTAACGTTACTTGCGAAGTTACTTACGCGTTAGTAACTATCTAGTAACCTTTAGTAACTTTCAAGTCACTGTAAGGGTCACTCAGGAGTAATCTGAAGTCACTGTAAGTTACCGTTGTGTGTAGTAACTTTCTAGTCACTGTAAGGTATCGTGGAGTAACGCTGAAGTAACAAGGTCTTTAGCCCTGGCCCTTAGCTCTGTCCCCTTACTGTGAACTTTTCTCTTGGTGCGCTCGGTCTACACACGGCTAGCTCCACTGGGTAACGCTGACCGCGGCCGCGCCTCCAGTTCGCGACCGACGGCCTAGCCGTTGGCTCTAGCGCGACTCTGCAGCGCGCGACACGCGTGCGTTCACGGGTCTGAGAGGGCGTGGCTGAGCTGGGCCGGGGACCGGCCAGCCGCGTGGTTCTTCGCGCGCGTCTTCCCGAGCTATCGGGCAGCGCTGTACCGTCTGCTGGGGAGCGACATGTAGCCCGAGGATCTACAGCGGACACTCAGACTGTAAGCTACCCATTCTTCCGTGAAGACTGGCTGAGTGTGATGTGTGGAACATGGGCCGCTTTGGTAACGTTGGTGTACCTCCAAGTTTACTTTCAGCTTGCTTCCTAGTTGGTAACTCTGAAGTTACGCTCGGGTTACTAGTTAATTACGTTCAGGTTACTTTGTGGTAACTCTGAAGTTACGCTCAGGTTACTAGTTAGTAACTTTGAGTTACTTTCAAGTAACGTAACTTTACGGTAAACCTTACTTCGAAGTAACGTTACTTTCGTTTACTTTTTTGCGACTCATACTGTACATACCGATTCACACAAGATCCTCTAATAGTGGGCAATAGTTTTAAGAAGTAGATGTAATACATACAGTATATAATACGAGCAGCATTGTTTCTCTGGCACTTGCTGCACATTGTACACGCCGAGAGTAAACAAGTCTTCACAAACCACACGGTAATGTGTAAATTCATACTATGTACGTATGTAAAATAATTATTAGACATACAATTACACATGTGCATTTGTCCTGTACCACAACCACAGGGTAGTCTGCTTGCGGCCACCATAAATACAAAAACAACATGGCAGAGTTAAACAAAGTGGTGCGCAAAATCACTGGTGCACGTCATACTACATATACGTATGGTGGTAATTATTTTATTAATGTCACTGGGTATGAGCTGGTTGCTGACTTTTCTGCCAGCTATAGCCGACTAGTTACAATTGAATTGAGCATTGCATTTTAAATCTTCTTTGGTCAAATTATTTGTACGTATTTAACACCAAAAACAATGTTACAGACACATGTCAATAGAAATCAGAGTCTTTCCTGCATCACGGTATCTCCTGATATCCCCTGTACCTTCTGGAGAGACACAGTCTCACACCATTTGCCATGTCACTCAATGCCTCCTTGCATGCGCAGCGAGGGTTACAGTAGTCGTTCTGTCGGTCTGTCTGTCCGCGCGAGTTCTCGCACTACAGGCTACGAGGCGGCCAATGAGTGGCACCAACGGGTTGTGAACAACGAGAAGATTAACATGGCGAATTTCCTGAAACGACTGCGTTCCAGAGATATGGCTTGAAAACAGCCAACGTGCGATCCATCGCTCACGCGCCCTCTCCGACAGGCTATATAGCGCGCACGCGTCATGTCAATTATTCACCGGAGCATGCGCTACGCCACGTTGGTTGTATATTATACGATCCACGGGCTTCTGTCAGTTTTGATCTCTGTTCACTTTGTATGAACATGCTAAGCAAGGTATGATGTTCGCAATGTAGCATAATAGTTCAGTTGGCTAGCAGTTTGTGGCTGCGACCTTGTCCTCCCATCTATAAAACGTCTGGTGAGAGCATTGAAACACAGAAGAGCGAATAAAGCAAATATGAGAGCCTCTGAAACACCTGAGCCATTTCTCTAACCGCTAATGCAACTAGCTACCCTGTGTTACGGCGAGACTCGTGTTACTGGCTCAGTCGATGACGCACGGCCCAGCATACAGCGATGCTACACTTAGCGCCAAGGGTTTGCACTTTAGTGGAAATGTTGAACGTTGTTGGCAAGCGGGAGCGACCCAACTTGGATTTGCCCACGATGTTGGAGCTGCATAACGTGCTGTCAGCGCACAGCTTTCCTTTCGTGAAGCAAGATAGATCTACCTGTCACCGTTCCATGCGTACTGTAGCTATATTGCCAGAACGGTGCACAGGTGAGCAGAACGGTACTTACCTTATGCTTTCAGCTCGTCAGTCGTGGTCCACCAGGCTGGCATTCAGCAGTATATGCACGAGCAATCCTAGCTATAAGTTGCACCAGTCACCGAAGATTGCAGCGCATGCCGTCGAATGGAGGAGAGTTCTCTCGCTGGCTAGATGGATCGGCGCATATCGCGAGGCAGCATGTGTATAAACATTTGGAAATGATTTCCGATAAAAAGAAGCGCGTAACGAAGCCGTGCATCCGCTCTTACATGACGTACCCGGTCGTATGAAAAATCAGCTCGAACGGACGACTAAGTTGGCTCGCTCCCACTCGCCAATTAAGTTAAGTCCAGGGTTGATTCCTACAAGAGAAGCTAGTCTATGACACTCTAGTCACGTGGTTTGTAGTGCACGAATTTGTTCATG